GAGAATACTGATGTGTATCCTTTACGTGGCAAGGTGAGGGAACGTATTTCAACCTCAAGATCCTCACCCTTGTATTCAAATCCCTCCACTCCTCTGCACCCCCCCTACCTCTCTGACCTCTCTCCTCAAAACAGCGCCCGTTGCCTTCATTCCTCCAGGTCTGGCCTCCTCTTCGTCCCCCAAATCCTCCGCCCAACCTCAGCGGCCGTGCCTTCAGCCACTATGCCCCGAGGCTCTGGAACTCACTTCCTCACTCCCTTCGCCTCACCCCCTCTCTTCCTATTTTCAGGTCTCTGCTGAAGACCTTTCTCTTCGACCGCACCTTTGGTCACTTTCCTCCCCCTCCCCCTGGCTCGGCCCCGGGATCCGTTACTGTGAAGTGCTCTGAGACGCCGTCCGGCGTGGAGGGCGCTGTATAAATCCAAGTTGTTGTTGTTGTTGTTATTAATCCTCAATGCTCATTTAAAGCGGGAAAATGTTCAGAGTTAAGTCTGGTTTAAAATTTATAAAAGCGCTGGGGAAATCATGATCGGTGGTTATGCGAAAGCCTGAAAGGAAGTAGAAGCAGACTGTGGTGAATCGCTTGATCAGTGTTTCAGACGCTAATTACAGGATCCCAAGTCTTTTCACTGGTCTACATCTTGTACAGAGCTGCTTTGCAACCACGACTCACTGACGTGCTCGCTCAGATGATTAAAAATTGAAAGAAAACAAAGGCAAAGCTGTTTATGGATGCACTGAATCCAAATTTATAAATAAACCTGCAACGCATTAAGGTAAAATACTGTATTTAACGATATAGCACTGGCTCACTTGTAAAATTCCTACATGAATTGGATGTAGAGCTCAAAACCACGCGTGTAACATACCTGTAGTGGCATGTTTATTTACATATTCTGGCTTTGTTGATAGCATTTTCTTTCCCCAAAGGATCCCTCTGGATTATGAACAGTGCTCAACAGAATTACAAAAGTAAAGCCCTCAGCACAATAGAGCACAACAAGGTTCCCACACTTTTCTAGGCTTGATTAAATTGAGAACCGAGTTCAAAATATTTCCTACTGCAGGAACTAAATGGTAATATCTCATAGCATATGTTTTAGGGTGTTGGCCAGCTTTCCTCTGTCTGTGCAAACATCACTGCCAAACTACCACCCTTCAGCTGTTTGCTGTTAATAAAATGTGCAGTTTGCTCAGATTTTGCTTTGACAATGCTTATCCTAGTGTTTGAGCGTAACTTGATATTCTGCTTAATTATGCTGAGTATGCCTTAAACTTCGGAGGTACCTTTGAAAGATACCGAGGCCCATTTACATGATAAGTGCAAGTTGCAAATCTTTGGCTAATTTATGGTAAATGTTCAAGCTTCCATGGGGAAGAAATACTTACTCCAATCGTAACAATAATAACAATAATCACATTTGATGGAAACATATTCAAAGAGCTTCACAGGATTTTCCTGTGAAGTGTAGTGACTGTGTATTATTTGTGGGCAAATGTCCCACAGACATAAAGTGAAACACAATTTTTTTAGGGGATTGTTGCCAGGACAACAGGATATACTTTATTGAACAAAGCCATGGGATATTTTAACATCCATCTGAACTGAACAGGAACACGTGGCCTTGATTTAACATGTCATCCACGGCACCTTTGACAATTCAAATGCTCCCCAATCACTGCTCTGGAATGTAGAGTTTAGAGTTTATTAGAATGTATTCTAAACTATACAAGTTCAAAGTCATGAAGTCCACAGATCAGAGCCATCTGAGTCAGAGGCAAGAGTGCTGCTAATTGAGCCAGGATGATTGAAGTAGAACAACTACCTCAATGTTAGAGCAAACAGCAAAACAGGAGATACAAATCTAATGAGCGTGAAGATTATTGTGGACCGCCTGGTGTTTTCCATCAGAGTAAAGATTCTCAACGTTAGCCATTTGAAACCACCAAGCATCTAAACACACTACTTTTGCATTATTGCTGTTTCCCAAGCATAAGGCAGTTTCCAGCGGCAAACAATAATGTGCAATGGGCAATTTTTCCTTCTCCGGATACGGAAAGCTCAACCGCATTCCCGCTAGACCCAACAAATCCCACTGGGATTGGGATCTCCAGATAGCTCCACACTGGGATGATGTGGTATCGAAACATTGGGAGAAACGTTGAGCAGGTACATACATTTCCTTACGCCATACACCACACCTGGTGTATGGCGTAAGGAAACTTACTAATTAGGAACCCGGTTGTTAGTCGATTAGCGAATCGCTTTTCTGGGTATAATAATCCCTTCAAAAAATAAATAATAACAACTTGGTCACTGTTTGTGGGACACTGCTGTGCGAAATTGGCTGCCGCGTTTCTCCCACAATGTATAACAGTCAATTCACTTTACAGTATATCCTGTGAAGCGCTTTGAGACATCTCAAAGACGTGATAAGGCGCTGTATCAATGTAAGGATTATTATTATCCCTGAGTGATTCGGACAAAAATCTGGTAATACGACCCTGGAGACTGACCACACTCCAATTACATGTGGACTTCCAATAAGAAGAATAGGTTTTTTTTCTGAAATTCCGCTACTATTATTTGGTAAGTGCACATTGTGTGGAAGAAAAATCCAAACCCTCTTAATGTTACTTTGTGTGGAAATACAGTGGAAGCCAGTTAGGCTGGGCACATCGGGGACAGATGTTTGGTCCGGCTTAAGAGGCATCCGAGGTTAGCAGGAATAGCATTCCAGCCCAGCAGAGGAGCGCTGCTGACGCCGTATAAAACTGTTGTTTCACTTGGAGCAATGTTAACTAATCAAACATGACACCAAGTATTTTATTCTGGGTTAAAGTTAAATTCCTGTTCTCTGACAGAATTCGGTACAATATATTTACCTTGGTGTGGCTGCAAAATACCTTCCCGCCAGCAGATGTGCTTCCTCCCTCCACGGGGATGGGGCTAATTAGCGGTGGCGTTGAGGTGATTGAGACTTGTAGCTTCTTGTGAATCGATGTGTCCTCCATCTATTCACGAGCAGCTCAGCTGTCAATCAATCGCGATATTCCCTCCCTTGTTCCTTCCCTGTTCCTCTGCCCAACCCTCGGACCCCCCTCACTGATTGACAGCCCAACTCAAGCCGCTTGTGAATGGCTGGAGTCGGCAGTCATTCAATCTCAGACTCCCTCCCATCACCGTCCCGGAGCCCCTCGTGACTGAGTAAACGCACAGAAGGCCAGAGTGAGTACGTTCAGTGTTGACCAGCCTGGCATTTGGCCCGAAGTAAGCGGATTTTTGTCCGAATCAATGGGCATCTTTAAAACGGGTAAGAAGGGGATTAAAAAGACATGTCCCTCAAAATCACATTCGATTCAGAAATGTATCTGGCATGACACCCGTACTGGATCTGCATGTCATGCAAATTTCAGAGGTTAGCGGGAAAAAAAGCCTACTACTTATCTCCTAATATTTTTTATTACAAAAAAAGCCACAAATTTGAACAGTATGTTCAACTGTAATATTAAATGCCCAAATACGTACATCTTTCAGTACTGTTTAAAACTAACTTTCAACAGAACTCAGCAATCCAATTGTTCACAAAAATCTAAAGCTATTAGCCCAGTTGCAGCCTGAAGCAAAACCACAGAGTAACAGCTGATCTGGCATTCGAGCAGTAACCAGCTTTGCTTTCAGGACACCGCTTGGAGGCTATAGTCCTGTCATAAGCAACGCACATTTCCCCCAACTGTGCAACAAGGGTTTTAAACTGTACGGGGGAGAAATTTCACCTGGGTTCAGATTTGCTCCGGTTTTCCTTAGCATTGCAGAGCATCCAGAAATTGTCATATTGTTGAATTCAATCCCAGCTCTGAAGCTGTTTTTCTGCAGTTCTTAAAATAATTTACAATAATAATAATCCTTAGATTTGACATCCTTCAATTTCATGTCAGGAGGACGTCTCAAAGCGCTTCACACGCAGTTAAGAAGCTATCAAATTCTGGATGCTGTGAAACGTTTAATGCAAATTAGAGTAACTCTCGATCCTTGTGGAATTCCCTGCCCTAAGTTTACAAAACCTCAGCTACCGAAATACTTTTCCATTATCAATGATTGACAAATTGCCGAGAATCATTCTAAATTGTCTGAGCAAATGTCGCTCAGTAACACCTTTTGAATATATATGCAGGAAGCTCCACTTTCACCTCTACACTCCACACGATGTGAGCGGAAAGCAGAACAGCATATCTTCGCTTTGGCTCAATTGAGAGGTTTTTGCTAACACATGGATAACATTTTCTTGCTGTAAACCACTGCGGTCAAACCGGCAGATGAATTTCAGCAACAAGTTTCTTGGAAATCGTTCTGCGGCACTAACAGAAGACAGCAGCGGAGATCGCTAAGCTGCAGTTGATATCTTTAAAAAAAAGTTTCAGTTGATTTGCTGTAAAAGTTCAGAGAATGGCACAGCAAAAGAACTATGTTATCACTTTACCACTGATTAACGGTTTTTGTGTCTGGGCATTAAATAACATCTCGTAAGTTTGTTAAAGGGCACACCCTGCCTATAAATCTTACCACGTTGATCCTTCAAACCTTCCTTTGGGAATCATTTACTTTTGCTGCATCAGTTTTCCTCATGTGACAGACCCACCTCAAAACTGTAATGTTGTTTAATTTACGAAAAGCATTTCATTAGCACACCGAGAGAGAAAAAAAAATCACACAACCAGTCTCCCTCAACGCAATATTGGCAGCTTCTGTTACATCATTGCAGAAGGATTTTGAAATATAATCCTTTTTTTAATTAAAGAAACGAGAAAGACATTTGGTGGGGAAACAAATAGAATATAGAAGATTGCTCACTTTTTGAAGGCTTTGTTTCTACAAACCTCAGAGCCTGAACAATGTTCCCGAGGAAATCTTTTCAACTTGTATCATAATTCAGTTTAATTCACCACCGTTCAAATGGGTTTGACATTGAAAGATGCACTGGAGCACATTTAATCCTTACCTTTCTGACTCCCGGATTTGCACTGCAGGAGGCTGTGTTTGTTCAAACTACCGAAAGTTTGTGCTGGTCTGTTCATCGCTGTCAGAGACCTGGTATCACTGACTGCTGCTGCCCGAGCAGAGGGGCCAGGAATCCTTAAGGGAGGAGAGAGGGGGTGGTGGAGGGAGGCGGGGGTGGGGGGGGGGGGGGGGAAGGAAAACAAAGTACTGTCTTGAGTGTAAATATAAAGCACATTCAACAGAAAAAGGACAACTTCTTCCACAAGAGCAAGGAGACTATCTAAGTCGAACCACAAATGGAAACAGAGCTGAAATCAGCAGGGAGGGGGAAAAAAAGAGAAAAAGGTCCAATTATGCAAATCCCCACACAGAGACCAAAGAAATTACCTCACTATCCTTTAGAAAGAAAGACGATATGTCTGCAGTGAGCGTCATAGAATTTTTCTTTTTTTCTTAAGGTCAGAAACTGAGGTTCGCAGCCACAGAGTTCAGCTGCTAGATACTGAGGAAGGGTTATATCAGCTGCTCATGACTGAAATCACCGTCAGGTAAGAGCGTGCATGTCGCTGATTGATTACAAGCAAAAAGTCATAATCCTCTTATTCAGCAGTGGCAAACACAGTCCACAAAACAAGGCTGCCAGGATTCAGATCGATCTGCAGGGCGGAAAATACCATTGTGTCGTTGTCCGCTTTGAGATGTGGTACAAATTTCCTGTTAAAATCGTTGCAATCTGTTTCTGGGAGAATTTTGTATCCAAGTCAGAATGGTCAACAAAAACCATCTTAAATTTGAAACGAAAAATGCAGATGCTCTGTCAATATTTCATATTTATCACTTACCTATATACTAAAGATCCAAGTTTAGAATAGATGATGCAATTTCTAGGTTTTTAAAAAAAAATGCTTAGCCTTGTATACTCCACCTTATTAATATAGTAATAATAATCCTTGCATCCGATATAGCGCCTTATCACGTATTCAAGTCGTCGCTAAGTGCTTCACAGAATATACTGTAAAGCGAATTGACTGTATATTTTATGGGCAAAATGCAGCAGCCATTTGCGCACAGCAGCCAACCACAAATAGTCGTGGATCGAGTGATCAAATTATTATTATTATTTATTGATAGATTTTTTAAAGGGATTATTACCCCCGGAAAAGCAATCCGCCATCGACTGACAACCGGGTTTCTACTTTACTGCTAGGTAAACAGTGGCGTGTGGACGAAAGAAAGTTGCCTAACATTTCGCCCTGCCCGGGAATCGAACCCAGGTCCTCTCGCTTGCAAGGTGACTGTTCTAACTACTGAGCTGCAGGACTCCGCACATATTACGGAAACAGTAAGTTTGTATTTATGTTTGGCCCCACACAAAGTTTGTGTTTTCTTTTTTGACCCATCCACCTCGCAGGGAAATCCTGAAAAGCCATGACTTTTTATTCACCAATTCCCTCAGATTTCTCTCAAATAATCTTGCAAAGTGGATGTTGAGGTACAACAGGTGAGAAATTCTGCTTGTCATTGTCTTTTATGTCAATGGGATTCTTAAAGCCAGGAGAACTTAACCCAGGCTCCTTGTTCCCTTCGCCAAATGTCATTTTATTCCCTAACTTCCTGTCAATAAACATGAATTATCTTTATTGCTGCCAAGGTAGTGCGAGTTTATGTCCCTCAAGCACACAACTTCCCAGTAGCTGTTTGGGCCAAACACTGCCTCAGAGATAAGGGCTTCGGAGGGGCAACAAACAGTAGTCATAACAACAGTTGTACAAATTATAATATTATTGTCATTTAGGGAACTGGAGGCCTTTTGGGTGTAATTTGGGTTGCTGCCTGGACCTGCAGAAATTTGGCAAGTGGTATTTGTGTTTACAGAGCCGTGCTCAACCATTATTAACTTTATCTGTGTCAGTCAGTCTGGCTCAGTTGGTATGCTCGCTCTCGCCTCTCAATCAGAAGGTTCTGGGTTCAAGACTTTGAATTTACCTGGGTCTAGGCTGACACTCCAGTATTATAATCTCCCACTATTGTCTCTTTCTGTCTTGCACCATCCACAACTCTGATCTCGTCATCTTCTGTCCTCCACCTAAATGTTTCCTTTGTCTTTCTTTCCCTGCCCCCTTCTCTGTTTGTCCTTATATTCTGCTCCCTTCCAACATTCCCCAGTTCCGAAGAAAGGTCATAGACCTGAAATGTTAACTAATCTTCCTCGCTCCATAGATGCTGCTTAACCTGCTGAATGTTCCCAGCAGCTTCTGCTTTTACTCCAGTGCAGTGCTGGGCATATGCTGCATCGTCGGAGGTGCTAACCTTCGGATGAGATGTTAAACTGAAATCCCAGCTTCAGATTGTTAGGGACTTGTGCCTTAGGTTGGAGGTTCAAGATTTATATCAACCTGAGTTTACCTCATCATCTCAGCTGACACACTACAGTGTGTAGTTCTGAGGAGGTGCTGAATTATTGGATACGTTAGATATTAAACCAAGGGCCTTATTCTTCAGGGGGACATTATAAGTATCCCATTGTTCTATTCGAAACGAGGAAAAAGGTGTGTTGGCCAACAATTAAGATTAATCCAGTTTAATTAATCAGTTATCTCATAGCTGTTTGTGGGTTTACTGCAACAAAATCTGCTATTTATACTATAACCATGGTCACCACATTTATAAAGTGCTTTTACAAGGTAAAAAGGTGGCAAACGAGAGATAAGGTACCACAAAAAATGCAAATTCTTTCTTCTCACACTGCAGGTCCTCTTAAAGGATGGATGAAATGTACCTATTGGCCAACTGTTATTACTGATATTGACGTTATATGTTAAAGATCCAATGGTCCTATTCAAAAGGAGAAGGGAGTTTTCCTGGTGTCCTGGCCAACAATCTTCCAGATAGAATTGGTCATTCGCTTCATGGCTGTCTGCGGGACTTGGCTGCCGAGTTCACCTACAGATACAGTCACTGCACTTTGCAGTAAACTCCAGTGAAGCACGTTGCGACATATTGAAGATGTTATAAGCGTTAAATCAAATGTTAGGATTGTTATTATTGTAAGGCGAAGGATTGAAATTCAATCACCAGATCAAACCTTGCATTTCCACACTGTGATCCACTCACAGCCATCATTCCACATGTGTTTAACACTCCCCCCACCCTCCCCGCACCTCAAAAAAAACAGGAATTACTCATTGTATGAGAGAAACAATTAACTTATATCGCAGCTCGACTCAAAAAAGTCTACAAATGTTTTAAAATAACAGGATTTAAAAACCATGAGTGACAATACAGAGATACTAACCTGGATTGCATGATTAAATGTTCCTCGAAGAGCAGTGTAGATCAATGTACTAAACCCAGTGACCAGATATTGTGTTGATAGTAGTTAGTGATGTACAATTGGCTGCTGTATCTGCGGCAAAGAAAACCAACAAAATAAAGATTTCTACATACAAAAACTGGATCACAAACCTTAGATTTTAAACAAGAACTCCATAATAATCTTTGCATTTAATATAGCGCCTTATCACGTCTTCTAGATGTCTCAAAGCGCTTCACGGAATATAAACAGTCGTGGATTGAGTGACCAATTTATTATATTTTTTTGAACTAATTATTGAACTAATTATTATAGCCGGAAAAGCGATCTGTCAATCAACTAACAACTAGATTCCTACTTACTGCTGGGTAAACAGAGGTGTGTGGAGTAAGGAAACTTGACCAATGTTTTGCTCTGCCCAGGAATCGAACCCAGATCGCTCGCTTGCCAGGCGAGTGCTCTAACCACTGAGCTACAGGACTCCACTTATTTTATTAATAAGTATTAATAAGTATTATTAATAAAAACTATCATAATAACTAGAAGTATTTGAACATGGAAAGTATTTTATTACAGCAGGAATTTTAGTTTTTAATTTGATTTCCAATGAGGGATTAGAATACTACTCCCAAGTAAAATATTACTCGAGTATGTACAGCTGTGTTGCTGATATCACCCATATTTTTCATACACACGATTAAATATTTGTTAAAGTTGAATAAATCACACCACAACTCCGGTAATTAGTTAGTTCCCTGGAATCCACACATGCATCATTGTCTCTACAGCAGTTTTCATCAGCACTCCAAGAACTCCGTTGGCTTGCGCAGAGCTATTCACTGATGAAGTCGAACTATAGAAGGCTTAATAATAACAATAATAATCCTTGCATTCGATACAGTGCATTATCACTTCTCAAAGTACTTCATACAGTAAAAAGCAGAGATTAGTTCTTTCTTGTGACAGTGACAGTGTCTAGAAACACTGACTGTCCAGCGCCTTGGGACGTCCTCCCGACATGAAAGGCGTCATACCAATGTAATTTTGTTGTTGTTGTTGTTGTTGTTGTTGTGTGTGTGTGTGTGTGTGCAATGTGGCAAAATAGGTCACTGCACCTTGAATAACTAACACAACACGTACACCAAAGCACATTTAAGTCCTTCTGTACAAAGCAATCACCCCCATCACTCACATTCTGAAGGTCTTCGTGGCTTCTGCTTATCAGGTTTTGAAAGTTTTGCTCCAGTTTTTATTCTCGTTGACCTTGGTTATTTGGTTTTACTTTAAAAATATTTCTCCTTCCTCTCACAGGAAACCAATAAAACCCACACCTGAACATAGGCAATCTGAATCCTCTAAACGCAAAGACACCTGGTTTTATTTAAGGAAACACATCAGAGTCGGATGCGAAGGAAAAGATACCGTTTCCTCAGCTCTAACTGTGAAAAGAGAACTTATGTTCTTTAGAAACTGGCCTTGGGACAAAACCGAATGTAGAGCCTGCAGAAAACAAGACTCTTTATGGTGACTAACTAGTTAGAGGGAAAAGGAGACTTGTTAAGGAGTGCTGATATTTTTGTAGAGTATTAAACCTAAGTGGAAACATACGGCACAAAAGCCATTCTTCCCATTGCGTTTATAGGGTGTGTGGAAATCTCTCAATGCAGGAAAGCAATGATTAATGCTGCTTGGCGCTTTATCAAGCATAGACACTGTGATAAAAAAAAACTAATTCTCTTGGTAGCAGCTGAGTATTGAAGGGAAAGATGACTTTAACAAACCATGCAAACGAAAATCATCCCAGGCTGCACACACAATGGATCCAAACCAATAAATGAGCACCTACCACTGTAAATTTTGGATATGAAGAGATTTGTTTTAATTAGTCTTACTTCACATAGAGATTTTACCAGAAATGCTATTTGAGAATTACATCCGTGAATTAAATAAAGAAACTAATGCACAGCAGTAGATCGCATTGAAGACCCCCAATGTAGGGAAAAAGGAACGCTGATCTCATTAAAATTGTGTGTGAATGGAGAAGACATTAAACCAAGATCCTGTCTGGTTGTTCAGGTGGATGTTAAAGATCCCATGGCGCTATTCGAGAAGAGGAAGGAGCTTCTCCCAGTGTCCTTGTCAACAATCCCCTGGACAAAATTGGACACTCACTTCATGGCTGCTTGCTTTGAGACATTTCAACGTGACGAGGCACAAAACCAAACGTAAGGATTATTATTATTATGACAAAAGTTGAAAATCCCCAAAGGTTGGGTGGGTGGAGTGATCCACAGTTGGAAGTTCTGGACAGAGAAACTTTTAAAATGGTAAGGAGCAAAAGCTTTCTTTCTGGAACGAATAAAACTGTTTAGTTTTAGAAACCACAAAATACTCAGCACAAACTTGTTAAATTGTTCAACAATGAAAACTGGAAAGCAGACGGACTGAATCGTTACCTCTTTCATCGGCCTATTTGCATATGAATATGGAATAAGCACTCTGGGACTCTGAAGGGTAAGTTGTTTGTTGGGAGTATAAACACTGGCATTGAATGGCATGTTTCCGTGCTGTACATTCTATGTAAATCTATGGGTTGTGCAATCTAGGCTTTAGAAAGTAATTTTATCCGTTTGGATGTTGCACAATATGTTCAGTTCCGTTTGTGTAGTTATTTGCAGGAGATGTTGCAGGACATGCATCCTTTGTGGGCAGCAGATAGACTAGCGACTTGAGTCAAACAGTTGATTTATCAGCCACAGCACGATAACTACTTGCAAATGTTTTAGTCAAGTTACCAGGCTCTGATTTGCAATATTAAGGACAGATGGGGTGTGAGATTTATGAAGGGACACAGATTTATAGCAGGGATCCAAAATGCCAGTCTATCATTTGTCCCCATTTTATATTGCATAGAAATAGGATTTTTGGCATATCCAAAGCAAAGATGGGTGTTTGAGAAATATAAGTATGTTTGCTTGGATCCGATTTAAATTGGCGATGTTCTTTAACCCAAACCCAAATAATATTCATCAATAAAAATCAATTTTCTACAAAGCCTAAAGGCAGCGATATTTGACAGCATGGTAGAATAGGAATCCGCTGTTCTGACAGGCTGTATTATCCCTTCTGATTGACATCCAAAACAGTATTTATAACTGAAGAAGCTATTCATCACCAGTAGATAGTGAAAATACAATCTGGCCGCCTGAACTTGATGTCAAGTTTAAGGGGAGATGACGAAGATAAGCAGAGTCTCCTGGGCACTGATTCCAACGTAACATTGCCTGTCAGTAGAATATTGCAATCAAGTCAATCGGCCTTGGTGGTCTCGACAGACAAGTCCACGGTACTCCACAGCACTGCTGATGGCAGAAGAACACACCTGGCTCATCAGCAATAACAACAACTTGCATTTATATAGTATCCCAGAGCGCTTGACAGTGGTGAAGCACGACGCCAAGCTGGGGGGTGGGGGGGTGATCGTAGACACAGGCGAAGAGGAAGGTCTTCAGGCACAACCTGAAGATTGGGAAGGAAAGGGCAGGCCGGAGGGACAGAGGAAGATTGTTCCAGAGTTTCAGGGCATGGTGGCTGATAATGCGGCCACCGATGGTGGAACGGAGGGTGCAAGGGACGTGGAGGAAGCCGGAGACAGTTGAGCAGAGGCAGTGGTTTGGGGGGTAAGCAGATCAGAGAGTTGAGGAGGTGCCAGGGCATGAAGGGATATGAAAACGAGTGTGAGTATCTTGAAATCAATCCATTCAGCGATAGGAAGCCAGTCGAGCCTGGTTAGAACTGGAGGTACGAAGTTTAATGCTGGTGAATATGTGGGCGGCAGAGTTTTGGATCAGCTGGATCCTGTGGATGGTGGAGCTGGGGAGACCTGCAAGGAGGGCATTTGAAAAGCCGAGACGGGAGGTGACGAACACATGGACAAGTGTTTCTGCTGCGCGTAAGTACGGTTGGAGGTGGGCAACGTTGCGGAGGTGGAGGAAGGTCTGGCTTGGACACTTTCAAGCGTGCGATGAGTTAAATCTTAATCTTTGCATGGCACTATTCAAAAAAAAAGAAGGGAGCTTGTCCCGGTGTCCAAGCCAACAATCCCCCAGATAACATTGGTCACTCACTTCACGGCTGTTTGCGGGATGTTGCTGGGCGCAAATTGGCTGCCACGTTCACCTGCGACAGATGCAGTCACTTCACTTTACAGTATATCAACCTTATCAACCTGTCCACTCAGTAGAATCAGTAGAACTACCCAAAACTCCCATAATTTTCACTGTACTTTGAATAACAAAAAAAGTCTTGTAAAAATTAAATGAGACAAGCACAACGGAGTATTTTACATTTGTTTGTTAGGGAGTTGGGTAGTGGTGCTCTCACTGTTGAGTATTAAAACGTTAACTTTCTAACAATGGGATTCTTTGCAGATGTACTGAATTGTCGCATGTTTTCTGGATATCATTAATTCTGTACTGTTTGGTTCTTTCAAGTAACGAAATTCAAGATGGTCTGAATTATGCAGGAGGCACCTCTTTTGTTAAACTGCTTCTCTTTCATTTTTCAGATACCTCAACTTCATTTACCCGTACATTTAAAGCAAAATCTGGTTTATAATCGAATCTACTTTCTTCAAAGCCCTCAGCTGTTTCTGGGACACGTTTCGAAATGAAATCCAGAATTGAAAAGCAGATGGAACACGTCAGGCCATTTGAATTGCATGCACATTTGCAACAGCATCTCTGTCCAAGGCAGAGAACATCTATCTACATTTTAACTGAGGAAGAACATGCATTTCTAAAGGTGAAAATGTAAAGAAATAAACTGCTTCAAACGCACAAACTTTCATTGCTATACTGGTGAGCTACAGTTTGTGGCCACTGGACGTAGATTTGTAATATAAAAATTCCTAACGTATTTTAGAACAACCTCTAATCTCTTGGACCCGAAACATTGACTCACTTTTCTTTCTCCATAGATGCTGCCTGACCTGCTGAGTTTTCCCAGCTCTCTCTGTTTTTGTCTCTAATCCCTTTAATCTCTTCTTTACCGGATGTTGGCCTGGGTTT